TAACGCGTCCAAGTAGCACTTAGATTCCTTTCCTGCATAATAGTTAAAAACGAAGGTGATGTCCTCCACTTTCGACCAACAACTCACCCCTGCGAGGAAAAGTTTCAGCGAAAGGCACATAAAGGGAGGTATGTTGGGTGCGTAATTGTAAATGCAACTTGTATATTTTACCCACGGTAACCGTTCAGATGTGAATAATTGTTATTATTATTATTACTAGATCAGTTTTGAGCTTTAAGCGAATTTATTTATATACTCTAAACAAAACCAGCTAAAGTAAATGGACGTCTTCAATCTTCAAATGTAGAATGTAAAGAACAATTTTCAACATTCAGCCTTGTTTGCTTTATAAGTGGAAAATGGCGAATGAGTGAAAAAATCAAAATTTGATAGTAAGCTTCTCTAAATTCGGAAAGTTTCAGTGTTCTCTCTTTCATAATTTATTATGAGTAATGTGAAAAAACCCAATAACTTTTGCTTAGAGAAGTAAAAACTGTGAACATACCTGTCGATCAACTTGGCTCATTTTCAATACCAACGTCCGTACAAGATCCGTCAATATTTCTATCAAATTTGAAATCGACGCGACCAGGACAGTGTCAACAACACACATCCCCATAGAAGGACAGATGGACAGACATGGCTAGAACGATTCACAATTTGAAGCTGGTCCAAGATATATATATGTACACCCTATGGGGTCTTGGAAGCTTCCTTTTGCATGTCAGACATGCCAAGACAAAGACAAAATGAGTGTACCATCATTCTTCAGTAGCAGCTATAATAAAATTAAAGAGTCTTTGATAAAATGTAATTTTATGTGGTCAAGAAATAAATGTAGTTCAATAAACTAAGTAAAAAAAAAAAAACGTATTTACTTTACAATGTGTTCATTACCTTTTTTAATAGTTTAAGAACATCGTAACGTAATTTTTCTTGCTTTTATTACTTAAGCGATAGCAACGAGGGCGACAATGAAAGTAGCGCACATAATGATTGTTGCCTGTCACCGATCAAAGACCATGGGTATAAAAGTGTTAGGATTACGAAGAACCCGAACGATTTTCCATAAATAAAAAAAAGGATGCATTTTTTACTCTAATAAACATATATGAATAACTGTGCATAGGTATATTTCGTATATTAGGGCGCAGATATGTTATAAATTAATAAGGGCGCAAATTAGCAAAAAAAAAAAATTGCTTCTGTCAACAAACGCATATGCATATGCATATGCGTTTTTGCCGGCTTCCAACAAAATCAAAAAATTCCTATACAACATCCAACTTACTATGCACCCCATGCACACAAGCGTTTAATTTTATCGTAGTTTTCTCTTTCAATCTCCGGCATGCGATGCAACAATTCTGATGCACGCGTATAACAGGTTGAAGTTTGATGTTGTCACGGGAACCAATGCAATCGATGAGGGGCATATTCTGCAAAACTTAGTTTAGTGCATACAAAGCATTTAATCGGAGGTTTAACTGGTGGTTTTTTTGTTGCGGGAAAATATCAATTATTTGGGTTAAACTGTACATCTGACTAATCTACTGTACTTAAATACTTAAATACTTTGTTTGACAGATTATTCGTAGTATTGTTTTGTTTTTCTTTAATCGTAAGTTAAGCAAAACGAAAAAATAAAAATTGACAGATTTGTAAAAAGCAATATAAAAACTTCGAAGTGCAAAGATGGAATTCGGCAGAAACAAAAGAAATAGGTAATTAAAACACAAATATATATGTATAAATAAATGGATACATTTTTAGATTTCATTTATTTATTACTTATTAAATATGTTACTTCAAAAGATCCGCCAATTTCTCGGTACTTGAGGAAAAAATTCTTTTAGCTATTCTGAAGAAACATAAACCTATCGTGGAGTCTAAAGGCGTAGATGCAGTGACGTGGAAAGAAAAACGCATTTGTTGGGAAAAAATTCATAAAGAATTTGGAAAGTTAAGCCCAACAGATCGCAGTATTAAGAATTTGAAGGATAAATATGAAAACATTAAAAAGAAATGTCGACGAGAAAAGAAAGTTATGCCAAAGTGTAAGCAAATGGATTTTTTACAAGATAGCTCATCAAGCTTTCCCGATCCGCTAAATGAATTAGACGTCAGTAATTTTGCAAAAGACGACATTGAAATCCACTGCAATGAAATAAAGGAGGAAGAACCAAACAGTTCTCATTCTAATATTAACCCTGGAACTTCCCAAGTTTCCTCCATTCCGGCAGACGCAAAAGACGAAAGCACAATTTCCTCATTAGCTTCACATCTTGAGAAGGTATTTGGTTTTTTTTTCCTTTCGTTCGAAGTTTTCTAAATGATTAAGCATTAATTTAGGCTCGAGAAGAATCATTGAAGAGTAAAAAATCTAAGTCAACGAGCAAGAGGAAGGTGCTGCAGAATCTTAACGAAGAACTGTTGAAAGAACAAATAAAACTTTTCCAAAATGAAGATAAACGGGCTGACGAGAAACACAAATTGGAAATTAAAGAGCTGGAGCTAAAAATAGAACTACTTAAAAGAGATATTGAACTTAAAAGTCTGTTAACTAAAAGTTAAAATAAATTTTAATAGATCTAATAATTTTTCTGGTGCTTTGTTCAAAAGTCGTAGCCAATTTACGCAGCTTAGGGGAGCCTTGACTACTCATTGGCTCATTTGAACGACTAACTGTCTAACTGCGTGAAATGTATTTTACTTTTATATTTTGTCTCGGTCTCTTAGTGGAGTTTTGGTTTTTTATTAATCGATAAAGAATGCTTACTAAGAATGCTTATGTATAAGATAATGGCAATCGAATGTGTTCATCATTTCGTGAAATTGCAGAAAAATGAAAAACCCTATAAATGTTTCTATAAAATATTTATGTATACAACCGATCCGTGTTTAGCTTCCGTCCACTTATTATTAAAAACGTTTATTGCCACAATAATTGACCCAAAACTCCGAAAGGAGAAAATTATGTGGTTGATTAATATTCCCAAGTCCAGTTTTGCAAATGGGAACCGTACGTTATAGGCACTCGCCAGAAAACTGAAAATTACAATATACAGCAGATTACAGTCTAAACGTTATTGTATATTATCACGAGATGTCGTTCCCTTTTTTGTTGATCCTAACGCTTCATGAAAAAGTGGTCCTGATAGCTACATAAAAATACTTATTGCAAATTGTTTTGAAATCTGTACTTTAGTTTAGTATGTTAGTTTTGAATAAGCGTTAAAAAGTGCTTTACTGCGACCACTTTCATCTCAATTTATTTCATAACTTTAACTACTTAAATGGAAATTGGTTTAAATTATATCAATTTCTATTTCAATTTTCAAATAAAACTTTACAAAGTAATTTTGCTAGCAAGCGCACCACTGTCAACGCGATAGATCCGAATATGTTTGATATAATAGAGTAGGTTTGACGAACCGAAAAAGAAATAAAATATTATCGTAGTTCTGCTAACACGATTATCGTCATTTACAGCACAGCACCGAAATTGGTAAACGAATCAAAACAAAGCAAGGATGCGTTTAGTTACCATTCAGATTTCTGAGAGTAGAATTCTACTTTTTGCGGTTAAAATTTATTTTACTGTGCACATGGAATAAGTAAAATTCATTTTCGTGTTCGTGAGCAACATACATGTTCGAGTTCGTGAGTGGACGTTGAAAAATTACTTGTTCAACTTGTTTTGCTAAGAAAATTCATACATAATCTCTCTACTTCATACATAATCTCTTATTTTACTTTTTGAATGCTCTTTTGTACTTTTCTGAGAGTAAAATTGACTTTGCTGTATATTTCTTATGGATGCCCTAAAAGAATGCTGAGAATATGAAATTCAATTTCTGAGAGTAAAATTTGATTTTGCTGAATATTACTACTTATGGATGCCCCAAAAAAAAAACTACTGAGAATGTGAAATTCTATTTCTGAGCGTAAAATTTACTTTGCTTCCAAAAAAACATTGAGTAACAGCTGTTAGTGACGATTGCTATAAAAGAAGTACCGTGCGTACTTTGTTGTTGCATTTTTAACTTTCAAATCGAACGGTGACGGTGTGAATTTTTTTCTCGCGAAACTTTACGGAAGAGTTGCGCGTAAATATATAAAATATTTAAGAAGAAAACTAAAACTAAACTAAAAAATAAACATTTTTACATATAATTAATTGATTGTTAAAATTATAAAAGAATTTGTGAACAGTAAAGATGTGTATATTTTTTATCGCGAGAGCTTATGTGAAAATACACATAATTTAATTCAATTCAAAGTGTATGGCATATATAGAGCTTACGCCGCACATATTAATTAAATTCAAATAATTAAAATTTAAAACAAATATTATATTAATTAGATCCGTAAATCGTGGATATAGATTGAAAAAACGGTTGTCTTTAGAGGTGTGCGGTAACGCATTATTCAACGATATATATATAAATGCTATATTAAAGAAATAAATCTTTCAAAAGAAAATAAACAAATAAAATATTATGCAGTTTGATGGGAAATGAAAAAAGTTCGAGTGGATTGAAAGCAAGGAAAGCGAAAACGAATTTTAATACTTTGCAAATTTTGTGTAAAAATGTGTTGCTCTTTGTGTTGATGCTTATGCTGCACTTGTAAATGCTTCATAGATCAAAGTGAATTTCTAACAGAAATCTTTCTGAGGGTGCAAGCGTGCAAATTAACTATAAAATTTTCCAAGGCCACAAAAAATTTGGCGGCATTTTGAAAATAGTATATAAGTAAAAAATTCCATGAAAAAGATTAATAAAGATACAGATACCTGGGTATAAAGTGATCACAAATTTTGATAAAAAAAATTTAAAAAAAAAAAGGAAAATATATTTGTAGCATAACTCAAATATGTCGAAAATGTTTAATAATAATAATAATTTCTAAAGTGAAAAATATATATCAAATTTCACTACAACTTCTTCTCTGAAGTCAAAAATCCTATTATCCCCGGTCCTATTTTGTCTGAGATTATGGAGGACGAATTACGTTGCCCTACGTGCAAGCAGCTTTTTGCAAATCCAGTATTGTTGCCCTGCTTTCATGCTTTGTGCTTGGGTTGTGCTTTGGATATACAGACCCCTTATACGCCGGGTGCAATTTTAGCTTCGGTTACAGGCGGTTCTTCGCTAATTGGCAACATAAATGGTTGCACCATACACAGTGTAGCCGCTACTATACATCCTCATCCTCCAGGGGCTCATACGCACGCACATACCCATCCTCATCCTTCGACTAGACATTCGTCGAATAGTTCAGCTGCTAGTACTGCCAGTTCCGCCACAGGTTCCGAATCAGTTACATCCGATCAAGATCAGTCGGATAAGGTGAGCATCCTAAGTGAAGCTGATTCCGGAGTTTGTTGCTCTAATACTTCACGACCAGTATCGTATGCTGGTCCTCCACATTTGCAAGGCTTATTGCCAGGGGCGGCATCGGGACCGCCAGGCGCTGCTTACAGCCTAACTTGTCCACTTTGCCGTAAAATTGTATTCTTCGACGAGGGCGGTGTACGTAACTTACCGCCCTATCGTGCTATGGAATCCATAGTAGATCGTTTTTGTGCCCGTGAGGCATTACGTTGTCAAATGTGTGAAACCGATCCAAAAGTAGCATCACTGGTTTGCGAGCAATGCGAGATACGTTATTGTGACGCATGTCGTGAATTATGCCATCCGGCCAGAGGACCTTTGGCTAAGCATACATTAGTGAAGCCAAAAGGAGCCGCTCAACAACGCGAATCGGTATGCGGCGAACATGAGGAATTATTGTCAATGTATTGTTTGACTTGCAAAATACCTGCTTGTGCTGAATGCATTAACGATCAGCGTCACCCTCAACATGAGGTGCAGCCTATCACAACTACTTGTAAGGCACAAAAGGTGAGTCAATGCATATTGAAGAGATAAAAGTATTTTATTTGGAAATTTATCTTATGTTTGTATGTGCAATCAAAACACATCAGTTGATGAAATCATTTTTTTTACGAAGAAATAAAAATGAAAATTTTTAAGAATTAATTTTTTTTTTATTTATTTTTTTTTTAATACGGTTAATAAAATTTGCAAATGCGTTAACAAAAGTATTCAGCGTATGCAGAGTGATTGTTTGAGTTTGTAAAGCCTGAACCTAAAAAATATTTAAACATGAACTCTTTTTTTTCTCTAATGACGACTCTTTGCCGACACACATTGTATTTCTTACACCGAATCCTATTTCGACCTAGACTAGTCATTATATTATTTAAATTTGTTTGTTTATATTGAAAATATAATAAAATATTCGCCTGAATATCCGATTAGGCAAAGGATCGCGACTAACAACTCAATTGGCTTGGATTCAAATTTTAAGTGTGGCAGTGTTTTTCAATAAAGCCTAGCGCTTTAAGACTTTAGTGCCAGAGTTCACTTCTCTGGCCAAGTTAGATATAATGATAATAGTAATGATAAAATATATGCATACATAAGGTCTACCGGAAAGTTCAATACGTTTCGAGACGTAAGCGCATGTTTACTTGACGAATGCTCGGCTCTCTGGTTTTATCGCTTAATGTATACCTACTGAGGTTGTAGATTGACAAACAAAGTCGGTTCACTTTAGTCTTAAGTGCGAAGCGATAGTGTGCCCATAGGTACTAATAAAGTTTATTTGTGCCACTGTACTCTACGCGAACTGCAACAAGAAAGGAATGATACAGAAGCATGTTGAAATTTATTCAGAACGCTTGGTGAAGGTACAGGTACGACATGCAGAAGATGGTTCGAAAAACTGAAGCAGATGATTTCCATTTTTCTCATAAGCTATGTTCTGGGCGACTATGTTTTATCGACGACGATGTTGTTAAGCAAAATTATTTTCTGACAATATCGGAGATCGGAGAAAGGTTTAATTCAGCTCAGCAAACCGGAAGATAGTATTAGTGATTTGTGCTTTTTCTTATTGCAAAAACGGACAGAACTTTCTTATATTTATATTCTATATATTATAGTTGAAGTTATTGTATCATTATTGAGACGTTCTACATTCAGAAGACTAGAAATCTAATCACATAATTGATTTTAATATTCACTGACATTGTGCTGAATAATTTTTAATTTATTATAATTTTTACAAAGTTTTGCATCTCGAGAGTGCCTTTCTTCTAGTCGTTCGATGAGGTTGAAAAGTATTTTGATTTCCATTTTTTCTGCCCATACTTTCGCATAATAGCATCAAAGAATGTGGCTTTGATTGTGATCGTTAGAACAAAATCGAACAAAGGGATTTTCTAGGTTCCTGCAAGCCTGCAGACAGGCTTGACAAAGCCGGTAGGCTGTTTTAATCTTACTCTGTAGAATGGACATAAAAGCAAAAGATTTTGAAAATTCTTTCTCCTATTTTAATATTTATATATAAATTTTTTTTTATTGAATTTATTTTCTAAAACTTAATAATAAATCTTCAGGAAAGAGAAAAAAAAAACGTTAGTTCTCTTTTATGGAACTCTAGACTCAAAGGAATTCTTTTTCTTCCTTGTAAAAAAAAAAAAAAAATTTCCAAAAAATTGAATTAAGGAGAAAAAAGAAAGAGAAAGAGTGACTACTCCATAAACATAAAATGTAAAGAAACGGCAAACAATGTAAGAAGTAATAATAAATAAACACGAGACACAAATCCATGCATACAAGCACAAAAATAAAATAAACAAACATATACAGTTACGTATGAATGCGAGTGTGTATGTAAACATGACACCAAATGGCAAAAGTAAAAATAAAAAACTCTTTTGAAAATTGAACGAACAGGAAAGCAAACAAAAAAAGAAATAAAAATAAACAGAAGAAATCTATTCATCCAAAGTATTAAAGAAGAACGCACCCGTCTTACCATACGTACATATACGGACTGTTCAATATGTACGTACATTTTACACCTATTTATGTATATGTGAGGAAAAATTTTCATATATATGTAATATATAGATATATACGTAAGTTGGCAGGGATGAAACTCCTTAGATTTTATTATCCATAGTTTTACATTAAGTGCAAGGAGAAGTAATAACTCGGGAACTTCCTTGACAAGCTTTAAGACCGTAGAAGTTGTAAGACTAAAATGAAGTAGAAGAAGAAGAAGAAAAGCAAAATCTTAATCGAATTCTCTAAAGTTGTGTTTACAACCGAGCCTTTATTCTAAAGATTTTTTACGACACATACAAAATGTTGGGAAATCTTTACGAACAAAAAAAAAAAAAAAAAAGCCAGTGAACTGAATATAAATAGTAAAATTTTTTTCTGCTTGTGCTTTGGATGGTGTGTGCTGTAAAAGAAATTTATTACTATCAAACTGTCAAAGTTGAAGCTGGACGCATTACTTTTATGTAAATTATGGCATTACTTGGCTTAGAATATAAAAGATGAATGTTTTTCTCATTTATTGCTACTATTTAAGGAAACAAAAGTGAAACTTGTCTCACTTTTTCGCATATCCCACGGTTACCTTTTTCTGGTAGCATACTCGAATACAAATGAAAAAAAAATAACGACAATACTTATATCCTTCATCACTTGTGACACAGGATATATTAGGTTCGTGTGGACGCACGTAACGTCTAGAAGGGCTTAAGATATACCCACCTTTAATTACGCTGATCGATTTAGAATCATTTTCTGAATCTAAACTTGTTCTAAGCTTGTCTGTCCATCTTTTTTTTTTCAGATGTCGCAATTTTTAAAATATTTTGATGAAATATGGTACACAGAAGTGCTTTGGCCCAACGACGAACGCTGTTCCGACAATGGTTCCGATCGGCGTTAATGTGAAATGTTCTTATATCGAAAAAAATTGCAATATTCAAAACTTTCGCTTTGTAATTGCACTTCGACGTTCTAAAGTGGTATGAAAAATTTGGTTCGACGGGGTACATATTTTAAGTCCCCTTTTATATAACTGTTGAATCGAACGGTAGAAAGGTGTAATTTTTAATATATTAATGGTGAAAATTGGTTCATAATAGTAAATTGACTTCGGCCAATTTTGACTATTTTTTGGACACAACCGCATATATGGATTCTCCTGAACTGTGAATTCTTATCTGCCCAAAAGGTATAATCGCTATCGTTTCAAGTTGAATATTTATTCATGAAAAGTAAATGGAATAAATTTCTATGTTTTGGACCTCACGCCATATGAGATTTCTTAGGAATAAAAACAAATTTAATTTTTATTAATTTATGATGAAAATTGGTCCATAGTAACAATTTAGCAACAAAATGAACAGCATAGTATTTGGATTACATATACCTACCCATTTTTCTTTTGGGCCCCAACACATATAGAGAAAAAGCAAAACCCTATATGAATAGAAAGTATAATTTCTAGGTTTCTATGATGGAAACTCGAAAATAATAAAATTTTTATTAAGTAATTAAGTTTGCGAAATTTAGATCACGCCATTTGATGTTTTGGGAATCCCCCAATGTGCAGGCGGTCATCGAAAGTATGTCTCTGCATTAAGATAATGCGTAACTTACGGTGTATTATTGCCAAAACGAGCGAGTAGCTGTAATAGACGACCTGATGTAGGATAATTAAATGTCAACTTTGCGGACTACAATGTTTTTATTTGTTTTACGCAAATTTTGTGCATAATAAATGGATGGTAGGCGTATATAAAAACTAATTTTTTGTTAATTGATGTGTTAATCAATTTTATTAGACGGCAGCGTGAAAGATTACTACAACATTAGAGTATAGTGACTATAATTATTATATTTAATAATTCATGTACAACTTACTCCTATTTTAATGCCACCTCTTGTTTACATTTCATTCCATGGTTTTCGCGAGTTAATTATCTTGTTTAAGGCCAAAATTGATATTGAGGAGTTTGCTCCAGAATATGGAATTTGATATAGTGACAGAAACGATGATAGGCAGGCACAAGCACTAATTTTATGACAGTTTAACGATAAGAATGCCAGGAAAATGCTATTAATATATAATATTTGAAATCACCCTTAAAAATAGGTCCTCTAGGTTCTATTTAGGTTTTTTTTTTTTTTGGATAAATATATCTTACCACGCCGCTGTATTTTTGCTTCGTTTTTTAATATCCAAACGTTTTTCTTATTAGAGATATCATAAAGAATGCGTAAGAAGCTGAAAGTGTTTATTTATTTATTTATTTATTTTATGAGAATTTCATGGGAACACTATATCTTAAAAAATAATAAGAAAAAAAAAATAGATTGGTTTCTCTTATGATTAATGACTAGTCGAAAGAAGAAGAAGAAGCAACCTATATAGTCCTAAATATTGCATTATAAAGCATTGACAGATTGCATGCACAGCATATCATAGGATAGAAAGTTCGCAAGCGAACACGCAGGCACACATAACTAGATCAATCGTAAAATTAGTCAAGTTAAAGGCGGCGAAAGTCTTCAAGCTGTACACCTAGCTGTACACGATCGGTTATATTATGCTAGAAATAAAATACCTAAACGCAACTGATTTAAAAAAAAAAAGTTGCAAATTAAGCTGAAAGAAAAGTATATCTCATGATGTTATAAAAAAAACCGATTTTTTAAAAGCTACTTTGTTAATGAAATTTCTTATTAGTGTTCCATAAGTTGGCTGAAAGTTTTTAAATGTTTCTGCAACAAGAAACATTACATAACACTAACGATGAGAATTTGCTTGTTAACATTCTCTCAAGTGGAAGTTATACACAATACCCCTATTATGCACGGTATGTTAAATTTCAAGAATAGAAATGCGATGAGAAAATATTGATGTGAAAAATAATATTTTTAGACTTCTCTGACTCTGCGTTTGTTTGCGATTACAACTTTTACTGCCCATAACGTCCATAAAAAAGAAAACCAAGAACTTTTTGTCG